CTCACACCACCAGCTCCACAAAGAAGTCCAGCAAGCCTATCAGATGAGGCGTTGATTCGTCTCCACCGGTTATCTGCACTAGAACCACCAGAAGAACGCTCCTCCGAGTTCGAAAAAGTCAAAAATAGTTTACAAGCGATGTTGGCCATGGTGGATTCGGTCAAAGATTTCGAACCAACAGCCGAAGATTTGGAAACAAAAAATGGTTATGAAATCCCTGATGGAAGGATTTGGCCGACCGATGAATCGCTACCTATCGACTGGGAAGCACTCGTCCAAAAACAAGAAGATTTCATCAGATCTAGACAAATCAACATTCCAGGCTCGACCAAACCGAACGTTGGATCAGGTCACTCGAGCGAGACCGGTTCTTCCAAGGCGGACTCGACTGGAGAAGGTGTGGCCTTGGAGATGGCGACTGAGGAAATTCACACAGTCCGTCGACGAGGACTTGGACAACAACCACAAAATGAGAACATCTTCTATGTCGCCAAACTCCCCGGTTCAAAACGAAGCAAATCAAAAAATTAGTTCACAACGTCCTTCACTGCATACGTTAATAATTGCTTATCCCACGGACTGTTCCTCCTCTCGATTTAATCTGAAGAGTCGAAAACCGAGCAATCTTGTATATTGAATAGAAGATTGGGTAGCTGGATGACCCACAAAACTGAATTGCATCTTACTAATTTGATCTCAGACAATATCTGGTGTCACTTCTGGAACCACATTTGCTATGATTGCAGGCTTGAATCTTATATTTTGCAAGGACATAGAGATAGGCAGATCAGTGAGCACCATCATTTCCTCAAACAATGGCAAGTTGTATATCTACAATATCTGGGTCAATTATTTAATACATTAAATGTTCCTCTTCCAAACAATGGTCCCTAGACACATTAGACCCAGTTATCAACAATGGGCTGCTACACTGCCAAAGGGGTCGTGTTGGTTGCAACCCCCCGTGTAAGGTCATCCGGAGGTGATGGATATAAAATTGGGTTTGGAAACCTGCTATATAGTGCTATGCTACACTTTTTTGCTCAAAAGAATTTAGTGTAGCAGTTTTTTTTTTGCGTGTGGAAATCATGTAGTGTTAGCAAAATGTTAGCAGTTTTTTTGCTATGCTACCCTGCACTATGGGCCGCTAACAGCTGATATAGGGTTAAAATGCTGCTGACCAAAGGGTTAGTGCAGCATACCAGGCACTTTTTGGGGGCCTGCATGTGTAGTGTTAGTGCAGACACGACCTATGCTACACTAAATTTTAGCAGAATTCCACTGTGTTACACCACACTAACACTACTGCTAGCAAGAACTGGCCCACTGTTGCTGTTATCTTTATCTGAGAAAAATTGAAAATGAGAGCCTGGGCTTGATCATCAGCACCAAAGGTGAGATTTGCACAGCATTCATGATATATCAATGCAGATAGCATATTTTTTGGAGCATGTAACACATGAGAATTGTAAAGAAAATCTGAGCTTCACTTCAAGTCCTTTTATTGGCCTTTTCTTTTCTGTTTGGTTAGGGAGTTGGTACACAGCTTCCTTGAAAATATTTTAAAACAAGTTGAAGAGCTCTAAAAATTGACAGTGCACCCTGAGTGCAGTTTAATGCCCTGGGTACTTGAAATAAAAACTTTGCTAAATAAATTACAATGTGAACCATCCTAATAACCTGTTTTAACAATTTTCTAGTCTCTAGTAAAGTGTTGGAGCATTTTTAGTGATGGTCAAGTCCAAGCTTAATTTAGGCTTTTTGCTATGGGGGTGCCCAATGTAATGATGCATTAGCTAAATTACATTCCGGAAAATTTACTGTAGTTTAGTGTTTTGCACTGCTAAACTACAGATAGAACTTAGCTCTATCTGAGGTACAGCTACAGCTACACAAAATTCAAAGAGGAAGGTGTAGTTTTAGATTTAGAAGGCCCTATTAATCTGTAGCTGGCCACTAATTAGCTGTAATTCAGTGTGGTTTAGCAGTTTTACTCTATAGCTACAGTCAATGCCCTGGAAAGTTAGAAGTCACAGCTATGCCAGTGGTTTAGCGTAATTAATGTAGTTTATTAGCAGGGTTCATGATTGAAATTTTGAAATTTTTGGAGCCAACTTTAAGGCCTCTATCAACCACATTTTAAACATTTTATGAGTTGGATGGATTTGGGGGCTTTGGGAAAATCCACACAAATGTATAATTTTTTTAAAAAAATATCAATAAACATCTTAATATTGCACATGTACAAATCACAACATGTGGGATGCTATCTGAAGGAGAGGCCTACATGAAAATTTTGACTTTCAGCCTGAGGCAATATGAGTCATGTTTGACAGGTCAATCTAATGTTTTGTTTTAGCTGAGTGAGGAAACACCAATTCCAAATCATCTGTACCTATTCTGAAAACCTTTGGGTATTGGCACATTGTTCTTTGACAGTAAATAAATCCCTCTGCACAACGATATACTTTTGACACAAAGCTAGCATTGACACCCATTTGACAGTAGTCAGAAAGGGGGGGGGGATTTCATATTTAGATTTTGAAAAAACTGACAACTTTTTGACAGTAGAGTCAGACAATTGACAGTTTCCTGTGGGGATTTTGGTCTGGATGTATTTTCATCATTGAGTAATTTTCTGAAGCCTTGCTTCAGAGATCATGGGCAGTTTTCCAAGTTGCCTGTTTAAATGTATAAAAACATAAATTGCTTTTGTGATTATGTAAGGTACTCCCAGCCAATTCTTGTTCATATATTTATTCATCATCTTTGGAAACCACTTTTAAAATGTCAATTTTGTTTGTAAATCAAACATTACATAAAATTTGGCTGAGTGGGGAATGTCCATGTACAAATAATCTGTGTGTGGTCTTCTAACCTTTGGGAGTATACACATTCTGCCTTGGCCATTACATAAACGTCTCTGCACAACTGTATCTTACTTTTGACACAACATTAAAAGGAGGTATAAAATATAAGAAATCCACTATTCGAAACCAGTCAATTATCCAAAAAAAAAAGAAAAAATCACCAATGAATTTCCAAAGAGCGTAGATGATAAACTAATCACATGTTTGAAAATTGCGGGTTTTTCAAAACCATTCATTTAAATAATGGTGTATTTGCCTATATTTGATACCCCCTGATACACACCCCTATTCAACATTACATTGATCCAAGTAACAGTTTTGTATTGGTATTTTGGTCTGGATGTATTTTAAATAGTCATAAATTTTCCAAAACCTTGTTTTCAATATCACTGTACAGTAACTTTAACATTGCACAAAATGTAGCTCAGTGACATTGACACCTAGTCTGACAAGCTTTTTTTTGAAACTGCTGTATTCAATGACTAATAAATACCTGAAGTTTGTCAGAAAAGGGAGCTATCACATTGAGCTCTGACCAATACATACAAATCTCTGTGCACAAGAATATAATTTTGCCACAAAAGCATCATTGACAGCTATTTGACAGCATATTCAGCCAAGCAGTAATTTTATCCCACAGGTTTCAATCCTATTTTCTTCAAGCAGGAGCTGAAAGCAGTCCTGTTGAATATAAATAGGCATCAAAGATTTTGGTTGTTGATCACAATCTCCACTCAATTTTTCAGGCAAATATCTGTGGTAGAAATTCTTGCCATGTTTCTCAATCTGATAGTTTTCCTTGTGAAGCATTTTCCTTAATTTTTTCTGTTTCTATCAGTGGATGACTTCCCATAATAATTTCAGAAGCCTGCAGAGTTGGTTTAGTGTCTTTAGGGCTAGATTTCATTGCAAAAACTTGGACCTTTTGGGTCTAAACCAACATCTGCAAGGGCTTCAGATTGAAAGATGGGAGGTCATCCTTTTTTACAAGTGAGCATCACTGAACTAATATATAGTGCTTTTACATTGTTGACAGATTTTTCAAGAAGTGTGTCAATTGACCGCTAAAACAACTGATGATATTCTAGGTGAAGTAGATAAATTAAGCAAGCCATCAAATCCAAACACAATATGTGGTGCTACTTCAGCAATTTCTCCAAGTACTACAAGGAAAACTACAGGTCTTTTTCCTGAACCTAAAACTTTACATCGTCACTCAAAACGGGTTTAGTGATTCTTCTACTTACCTACTTTCCTGTATACAAGCTCACAGTTTTTACCTTTTTGATTCATCAATCTTTTTAGGCTAATAAACACTGTGGTATATGCAACAAAAAGCTTTCCTTGGGGTTATTTGGAAGTGAAAAACTTTCAAAAGCTTGGCCATGCAAAGACAAATTTCATGAAAGATGTGCGGATGTTCACATTGCCAGTGGAGATAGCTTCTGTCCAAAGTGCAACACCCCAACTAAAGGGTTCAATGAGTACAACTCTAAGTATTCTTCTGCAAAGAAAGATTCTGAAGGTTCTGCAAATGGGGAAACATCAAGCAGTTCTTCTTCAACCCAGAAACCACCCATGCATGGCCCACAAAATGGGTATGGTGGACAACCTGGTGATGTATACAGCCAACAACCTGGGCATGGATATGGCAGACCACCTGGGTATGGATATGGCGGACCACCCGGGTCTGGATATAGCGGACCACCCGGGTATGGATATGGCGGACCACCCGGGTATGGATATGGTGGACCACCCGGGTATGGATATGGCGGACCACCCGGGTATGGTTATGGCGGACCACCCAGTTATGGTCCACCTCCTATGTAGCGTACACCTGAATACCCACCATCTGGATGTTAATCTTAATCAGGCCATACATCTTTGGATCTCAACATGAATAATCCAGCTTGGCCAGCTATCCAACCTATACAGGATGAACTATACCCTCAGTCCATATGGTCAATTGTTATTCTTTGTATGAAGATATTCTGATAAAAGTTCAACAAGATGATTTATTATTTCTTCCAAATTTCATTGTCTTAATGAAACATCTAGTTTGATTTGACTCATCTTGAATCTCACTCTATTTGAATTTCTACTTCCCAGTTCCAAACCTAAGATCACTACTCTTTAAATCCTTTTCTTACAAATTGCTCTTTCTTCTAGTTCTTTTTGATCTCTTTTCCTCTGTTCATTTCATTTCATCATTTTCTTATTGATTTGGTTTTGAAAGTCAATGCTATTATCCCCTCTGATTTTCTGGTATCACCTGTCTTTCAATTTATCCCCTATATTTCTTTTGCTAAAGAAACACACAAAAATCACAAAAAAATCACACAAAAAATCACACAAAAACCCACCCAAAAAAACACAAAAAACACAAAAGAAGACAAAAAACATTTTCTTTCTTTGAATCATCCTTTTCCTTTTACATCTCCTTTATTTTTTGAAATCACTCTCTTGTTTGGAATATGAAGAGCATCAATATTGGTTGGTTAGAATTATTTTATGCCAGTTTGACTTAATTGGTTTGATCCAAGTTAGGTAACAGGATTTGCTTAATGCTCAGAAAGGTCTCAGTCAACAGTGGGCCGCTACACTATGCTACACTTTTTGCACAAAAAGCGTTAGCGTAGCGGTAATTTTTGTGTGCCAAAATCATGCAGTGTTAGCAAAGTTTTAGCGGTTTTTTGCTGCGCTTTGGGCCGCTAATGGACACTACAGGGCCAAAATGCCGCTAACCAGTGCGTTAGCGCAGAGTAGCGGGAACTTTTTAGGGGCCTGCATGTGTAGTGTTAGCTTGGATGCAGAGGAATTCTGCTACACTACACTAAATTTGAGTGGAATTCTGCTGTGTTACCCTACACTAACCACTACGGTTAGCGTAGCCGCCCACCGTTGTCTCAGTCAAACTGTGGATCGAGTGAAGGATATGTTTTGCTTGAAATTAACACAAGTCTCCCAGGTGGGATGCTTTCTGGTGGAACTGGCTGTGAACAAGCAGCACTGAAACCAATAAAATACATGTATCTGTATCTGTTTTTCTCCCAATAAATTTTATCTGTATTGCGTTGGGAAAATTGCAAAACCAATAATATAAAAACATATTGTATCTGGTCACCAATACAGCCCAATACAGAAACAATACAAGACTGTATTTTTGTTGAGGTGTCTGATAGTCTGCTACCATGATGTATCACTACATGTCGAACCATGAGCACTACCACCCAACTACCCTGGCAGTCACAAGCGTCTGTAGCCTAGTTGGTAAAGGCAGCACTCTAGTATGTGTCTCAGCTTAGCTGAGGTCGTGAGTTTGAATCTCACCAGACACATCTTCATTTTGTCTGTCTCTACAATTTTTTTGTATTGCCCAGTTGGGTTGTACTTGAATACAGTCCAAATTGGCCAACAAATGTGTAGTATTTTTTTAATAAGATACCTTTGTAGTGTATCTGATTTTAGATACAATACCCAATACAATTTTTTTGAGTATCTGAAGAAAAGATACAATACACTGCATTGCCCAATACATGAATTGTATTGTAAGGAGGGACTTGCATAATCAAACACCTTTCCTGCATTAGCAGGATGCACACTCTTGGTGCTTCCTTTCTCTGATTTTTTCATTTTTCCTCCTAATATATCAAAGATATATGGCTCTGTTTGGCAGTGATATATTGCAAATTCTTGTGACATCTGATGAGTTTTTGGTGGACCTCATTGGATGTTACACAGTATTTTTTGCAAAAATAGCAATATATCAATCAAATTATATTGCTTCCAAACTGGGCCTACATCTTCCTAATTTTTACACATTTTTTATGGTAAAATGTTCTTGGATTCTCGTAGAAAAGTCAACATAGGCATATTCTATGCCTGAAAGATGATATGTTTCCTTTTTTTTTCTTATTTTTGTAAAAAAAGATTGGTATGGGAATACAAATAAAACATACAGAAATATTAACCAGATGGCATTGGAGAAAAAAAACATCGCAATGGGATTTTGAATAGAAAGGCATGGGAGCCAGAGATGAAAGTACAAAAAGGGCTTTTGAATCTGGAACTTCTCAGGCCAAGTTTGATTTTTAATGGATAATGTTGAGTTTTCCTCATTCTGTCTCTCTCTGCCCTTTTACCTTTCTTGAATCATCTTGACTCAGACTGAATTATAGTCAATCATAGCTGTTTTTTGCACTGAATCTTATGCTCTCTTTTAGTCTAATTAGAACTCATATTGGCAATTTTCTTCTAGCAACTCTATTCTTATTGTTTGACTTCTTTCTTTTTCTGGTCACTATTTGATTCTTTAAATTCTTATTATTGAGAATTACCGCCTTTCAATATTTGTGGTTTAACTAGTGTTTTCTCTTGATTAATTTTCTTGCATGACTAAAAGAGACTGAGAAGGCATGTCACATTATTTCTTTCAAGAACTCATTTATTTATTCCTCTCAGTTTTTATTCAAAAACCAATCTTTATTCAATTTTCTTCCAACCACTTTTTGACCATTTGTATCTAGCCTATTTAAAACATGACTAGTTGCAGATGAATAAAAATCATTGGTTCTTACACTCATTTTCCATGAGCCTTTCCCAATAAAGATTCCCTTCCTTTTTTGGCCCTCAATCCTTACGCGCCTGAGTTAACAATTTCAACAGATAAGCCTCTCTGGTGAGACTGGGCTTCTACTCGGACCTGCCCACATGGCACTCTCGCCATGAGAGGCTTAAATAAGTTGGTGTTCTGGAAGTAATACCATGTATCAAGCTCATTTTATACTGGAGGTGTTTACTTTCACAACTACTGTAGAAAGAACCTGTAGGATTACATAGGTTGTGGTCATACAATTACTTCTGGGATGTTCATAATCAAATTCTTTTTACTTTTATTTTTTTCAAATTATGAACCTTTTTGTGTTGTTTTTATTTTTTCATATTAGTTATTGGAAACCCTTTCCACACCACTTGACTTCAAATTTGTGCTTTGAAGCTCTGGGATCCAAAACAAGCAGTCAAAAACAATGTTACACCCACTGTACATCTGGATGCAGTACAATAAGCAACAAAATATTTGGGGATATTGTGTGAAACTCCTCTTGCTTTGTGGATTTAACAAGGTTTCAAAGATCAGATTAAATAAGCTGGGATTCATCCTTAGTCTGTCTTCTCCCCCTTTACCTTGCTGGCAGAGTTCTTCATCTCTCCCGCCTAGTTAAGTTATTGTATGTTCTGTATTCTCATTTCTCTCCTTTCTGATTTTTTCAGATACTAATAGAGAGTTCTTCATCTATCCCCTCTATGCTTTGAAAATAAAAATAACCTTCCTCAGTTCTAGAAAGCCCAGGCCCACTGCCTGTTCCCAACAGCAACACTGGGTCATGACTTGAAAGTCATTTGTAAATTAAAGATATAGTAGATGTTTTTGGCCCAATACTATATGGATAGTATCAGGATCTGTAATTTTTTCTTCACTATCACTTCAGATGCATGAATGAATAATATTTCCAGTAAGGTTACTCATTTAAAATGTATGTATTTATTATGGCTGGAGTGGGGATAGTAAACTAGAATGTATGAAGTTGCCAGGTGTTCAATTACAAAGCCTCCTCCCTTTGCAGTAGTCCAAGTCAAGAAGGCTTTTTTGCACCCCCTTAGCCATAGAGAAGTCTTTGCAGTACCCAGAAACTGTTGACGGGTACCCCTCTATCCCTGACAGTATCTGCCCAGTGGTGCCAGGCACAGTACCCATTGTCTATTTTTGGCACTGCCTGGATCAATTGAAGCCAATCCAATGAGTCATTTGTCTGGCCTGTCCAAGCAGTTCTCGGACCTGGATTTCTGGTAAGAGGTTGGACAGGCTTGTCTGAGCAGTTGATGAGTGGGGACATCTGCTTATACAGCTGAGTCCAAGCTCTTGTCAGACAGCTGAGTCCAAGGGGAGTGATAATCACACTCCACCCCCCTTCGCACACACACTAAAAACACTCCCTTCTCTGAAGGGAGT